TATTAATACTCATCGACTCAATATTTTTTATTTTTTTAATATTTTGTTTGTGTGTTTAATGAAGTTAAGGATCTCTTTCGTTTCATAGATCGTTTTATGCATTATTTCCCTCATATGCAATCTAATATTGATACAGTGGCTCGTTAAAAAATAAAGATTGGATAGGCAAATATTAAACGTGGTAAATAATGACAAAATTTTTGAAACTATTATATCATAGAACCGAAGTATGCATCAGCTGTATGATCGCCGCTTGCAGCCGGGCTTGTCATCATTGTCGTCGGGTTATCGCTCGATATTAATCACGCAAATTGTACATGCATCACTGTAGATATAGCGATCACGCGACGAATGTCGGCGCACACCTGCGCGTCTTAATTAATATCCCGACTAAAGTCACGCATCCCTCCGAGTAATGCATTTCCATCGATGGACAAACTTCGGTATTCGTGCCAACTTTTGACCGCGGAGTATTGTGCGCGACAAAGTTTGTGTTCACGATGAAATTGCACCCGTTGTTCGGTCACGTGATATAGAATTCGTATGGAAAATAGAAACGAGAAAAAGTCGAACGACGCACACGTGATATTTGGTGTTTTCGGAACTTCTCGCTCGAGGGAACAAGAACTATTCGATTTCGTCAAATAACAGAGATATACCATAACACGGCCGATGCGGAGCGAAAAAAAACATTCGCAGATGTCACGTGTGCGCGTGGCACACGAAAAAAAAAACTATTGTTGACACAATTCAAGTGTGATGTGTCTTGTATATAATATATATTCCGTATTATTTACGAATTACACTACCTCAGCAAACTCGGCACGTCGCGTAACATTGTATCAAGATTGCGAGTAATTAATTTTTAAATTAACTATATCGTGTTATTCGTGTAATTGGAAACCGTTTAATTGACAATTGATTTCAACAAGATCAGTTGCAGACCGTTCGATTGACAATTGATTTTGACGAGTTTGGATTAAAGACCGGCCAACTGACTATTCATATGAGCGGATGAAATAAAAAATCAGTTAATAATAGAACTTACTAAGGAATCAGACCTTTACATTGAGGAAAAAAATATCTAAAAAATGAAAAATATTTCTTCAGTAGATACTAATAACGTATTTACTTAAATATAAATTCTTTTATTTAAGTAAAATAAACAATCGTTTTTATGAAAAGCAAATATATCAAGAAAATGTATATTCTCATATTTGAAGCAATTTTTTGTTAGTGTAGAAATATTTATATTAGCAAGAATAAATGAGTACCCACCAAATAAATAATATAAATATATAATAAGTAATATAAATATATAATAAATAAATAAATAAATACTGATATAAATAAATAAAATATTATATATATAAAAATATTTATAATAAGAAATAAATAAATATTACTTCTTAAATATTTTTTTTCTCAATGTACGCTTTTAAAGGTTCTTTATATATTTATTTAATTAAATAACACAGACAAAGCTTTTCTATTTTACTTTTGAATATTTTTATTTTCGCCGAATAGAGATGCAGCACTGTTTCAATTTCCTCTTTATCTTATTAAACTAACTCATTTGTTATATAATTATATGAATATTGCATGGAGGGAAACTGTGACATTTAATTGGTCCGGATAATACTCTGAGCGTCCCGTGCAAAAACTGAAATAATTGCATTTTATTATTTTTTGGGGAATCCTAAGGTTGATATTGGTCCCAATATCAATCCTCAATGTAAAGGTCAGTTTCCCTCCATGCAAATCCATATAATTATATAACAAATGAGTTAGTTCGATAGGATAAAGAGGAAATTAAAACAGTGTTGCATCTTTATTCGGCGAAAATAAAAATATTCAAAAGTAAAATAGAAAGGCTCTGTGAAAAGATTAACGACAGTGCCATTAAAAGTTGCAGAATCTGTAGACTGGTTTGGCCAGGGATTGACAAATATGCATTAAATGCAAATAGACATTGTACACGCAAGTTACTTTTATCAAGAGAGAAAGAGAGGGGATTCTTTTCACGAAGAAAACAAAATCGGGGAAAATTCCCGTGAGAAATTTTCATCTCCTGACTTATAATTTACTTCGTGTCTCTTCGTCTCTCTCGAAAAAAAAAGAAATTCTAACTCGCTTATTTCGTTATTTCACTTTTATATATATTTTCTTATGTCTATGGTGAAAACGAGAGGATCTCGAAATCATAAAGTTCATCAAATTTCGCGAAGCCCCGACTGTCATTCATTACAGCTCTTTCTCAATCTCGGGCGATGAGTTAATCTATTTTCGAAGGGAAGAGTAAAAGTCGACCTCCCCTGTTGCCGTAAAAGACGTCGAGAAATTACGTCGAGATAAGTTTGCGAAATAATTGACGGCAATAAGAAAAAGGGAGCGATGCCATTCACGTTATAAAATGTTATATCACAGAGCCGGCGATGTAATGCCGCCTCAATTAGGTCGATATCTATTCGGATAATTATTTTACAGCAACGGATGTAATTCTCCGTTTATTTCCTATTTCGTGCCGCTCGTATAAGCCACATGCTCCGAGCTTCAATAGCAATCGGAGCGAGAGCATCCTTTAGGCATGGACAGGTGTGTTGAGAATTGCGAATTTAA